CCAAGCCATTTCTTGAACGCTGCTTTTTTCTCTTTAACTGCCAGTTGTACCTCTCGCGTCCACCATGAAGATCCTTGCTGACCTTCAGGAGGCAGGCTAACCCGTTTAAATCCGCAGCATTCGGCGGCGTCCTCGAGTATGCCGCTCTTAAAGAGCTGCCATTGGGTTTCAGCATCAGTTATCATCACTGAGATCTGTTCAAACCGTCGTGCAATGCTGTTTGCAATTTTCGCTCTTGTGTCCACCGAAGATAATGTCTCCTATTTGATTATCCGGTTGCTTCTGCCACCAGATCTTCGTATGGTACTCCATTTCATACAGCGCAGCGTGCCAACAACAGGGTGATGATCGGTTGATAGCTCTGCACCTCTCTTAACGGGAACATCCGTTACTGACCATCTTAATTCAGACGATACGATTATCACATCGATCATCGACTTCTGTGCACAGGTTTCCCGGTACCGGATGTACTGATGCACTTTTCGATGCTCAAAGAAGGTGTTCATAATGGACAATCCGTTGTTTGCGCAAAACCGCAACAACTTCTTGCCGTTATTATTGAAGTTGATAGGGCCGTTTTTTCCAATCACGTCCTTCCACTTTCCAGCGTCTACTTCGACATGCGCGTTAAAATCACCCATGATTATTAGGTACTCCATATTCAGCTCTGCGGACAGAGCACACTGCACATCCTCAAAGAAGATCTCATGTTCTCCCTCAAAATTAGGCGCATAGACCTGTACCGAGGTCAACGCTTTAGCCTGTCGTAGCTTCAGCTGACGATTTTCAGCTGACAGGTTTTCAATCGATAATTCTATTGGCGAGGTTTGATTCTACCAGAACACCTACACCGGTCTGAGTTCCAGTCATGATATCGACGCGTGAGTAGAATAGGTTCCATCAGGTTTTTGATGGACTCCTTCAGGTTCAGGAGTCCAGAGCCTTGGCGTTTCGTTGACCAGAGTCCAACAATATCGAGTTGGTACTTTATTGCCTCATCAACTAATTTTTGTTCTTTTTCTCTGAGTGAGGATATATTCCAATTTCCTACTTTTAGCTCCCACTGGTGGTGTCGTTCTCGTGGAACCTTTTCTGGCTTGTTATAACGGCATCGCGCTTTCTGCCTCCTCCGTTCAGAATGGATTGCGTCTCCTTTGTTGACTGGTATCTTCGTCGTCGTTCCGTCGATCATGGTCAGTCCGTCGTAGTGCTGCTACGCCTCCGGCTGGCAGAGGGCAATGAGCAGGTTCTGATCGTCGACTTTTCGCAGTCTGCCTTAGTCCCCCAACAGCCTGCGCGGCCCTTGGTAACCCTTTCGACGACCGAGCCGGTATGATTTTCGATGGCGTCAATACCATGAGTGGCAGGTGGCTAAATTTTACAGAAATTTGCCACGGTCTCCAACCCTCCTCTTTTCTCATCCGGGCTTGAGACCGCCAGCTGCGGAGTTAGATTCGAAGTATTATAATCAAAAATTTGGTTGAAGCAGACGTCTTCACTTTCGATTAAATCTTTCGGCAGAGTATGTTGTTTTTAGGTATTCTTAATGATTGGAAAATATTTCAAGCGATTTCTTTTTTAAAAAATGAATAATGTATTTAAACGGTTTACCTATACACAACGCATGCAAATTAGTCGATTGGGTGACTGAGAAGTACCGACATTTCGACGGGCCTTTCTGAGAGTGGACCGGTCAATTTTCGCAATTGCTTCTGTTGTCCGCAGCTACTGTGACATTTAGAATCAAATGTGCTCTTGCCAAATGCTGCCAGTTACTTAGTTTGTCCAATCCGTGCAAAATTTGCATTTTTTTCTCTGTAGACATTTTGTCGAGACTGGATAATTAAAACTTTTTTGATTAGTCCGTGAGCTAGTTTCTTTCTTTAAAGATACCCTACAATGTGAC